AACGTAAATTCGAAATTTGTAGAGAGCATTCATTGAATCCGTTCGTAATGAAGATTCGTACAGATACACTACGACGAGTTTATGCTGTCGGAACAAAATTTAAAATCACTGAATCTTAAAAATAATTATTGTTAATAATAAATATTTATTATACTCCATATTTGTTATAGTTTGATATAATTCCATATATTTGTGTAAACGTAGACGAAAAATATAAATGGCATACATACCTACATACATATGTACATACATATATTCATCTACTAGACGCTATTTAATGAATGTTTTTTTTTAAGCGAGGAAATAATAGTTTAACAACAATTTATTAGGAAAGAAATCTAACTACTTTAATATCATATAAATTTATTTTAAAAAATACAAATTTAAATTAATTAAATAAAAATAGTTTTCTCTTTAAAAGAATAAAATCTAAACTAAAAAAAAAATTAAAAAAAAAAACAATAATGAAATAAAAAAAGAAAAAAGCTCCACTGCCGACGACTCAGACTCGAACTCGGATCTCTCAATTGGCAGTCTAGTGCTTTGCTCACTCGGCCATTGCGACTGCTGGGGCAGCGTTAGCAAAATGGCATACATAAATGTCTATTGTTTCCTATGCACTAGCTGATTTCGAATCAACATTCGAAGCTGGCAACGATATTTTCGAGTTCACTCGGAATCAGTGATAGCAATTTTTTCGTATTCGTAGCAGGCATTCGAATTCGTAGATTTTCTACGATGGATTCCGTGATAGCCCTGATTACTTATTATTGTTATTATGTATGTATGTATATCAAAATATTTCGTGCATAGAATGCTAAGGCCCTGTCTCCACAGGAAAACACTGATGTCGTGAAAATCATGTCAGAAAATATATTTCCAATGGAGACCGCTTATTGCTCATGGCCTGAAATATATGTCAGAGCTTATTGCTTGACATCTATTGCCTGCCATCACCTGTCATTTTTTTAATTTGACAGCTAATTTTCATTTGTGTGAAAGCTTGCTAGCAGCAACATCATTGGCATTTTAAAGATAAATGAAGCGTTCTGCGAATAAAATTATTTGTGGTTAGATTTTTGCAAGTAAAAGAGTAAATCGAATAGAACGTTGGCGTTTTAGTTTAATTCTTGGGCAAAAAAGTCTTCTATTAAAGTGAAGCAACGTTATAAAAGTATTACTTGTACGTCAACTTTTGGAAGTAGAATAAAAGAATTAAAATACATAATTATGTAAGTATGTTTTAATAAATTATATTATTCCATACATGCTTGGTAATCGACTCATGAATTGTATGTTCCCATTTCCAGTAAATATGGATTGGCGCATGGCGGAGGTTCTAAAGCTAATAAATTTGTACAGGCAATTCGAATGCCTTTGGAATTACCAAAGTGCAACATACAAGCGAGTCGATTTAAAGAAAAATGCGTGGATCCAAATTTCGGAAGCGTGTGGAAAGAGTTCCGATGAAGTAAAGAAGAAATTAAAACATCTACGCACGGCATATGTTAACGAAAAAAAGAAGATTGAAAACTGTAAGAAATCTGGCTCGTCAGCGGACGCTTTTTACGAACCTCACTTGTTTTATTTTGCGGAAATGAGCTTCCTAGACTCCGTAGTTGTTTTAAGAAAAACAGTCAGCAATTTAAGCAGTGTAAGCAGAGCAAATATACATTTTGTACAAATTTGTATACCGTTAAAATAAGAAAAAAGGGTTTTTAACTAATAATATGTATATTCCCCCTAGATAAGCATAGAAGCTGTAGTTGAGGAAAACTTGCTAGATTCAACTCTGACCGAAGATAGTATGCTGACACTCACGCCTACAATATTACCACAACTTTCAACACCAATATCGAGCTCCCCTTCGTCTTCGACACCATCACGTTCGAACCGTCGACGAAGAAACCGCAAGCATGATAAGAATGCAAAATTTGATGAAGCCATTGAAGCAATAGTCACATCTGCAACTAAAGCGGATACTGACAATGTCTTTATTAATTTTGGGAGAACTATTGCCATGCAATTAGAGCAGTTGCCACTGCGTCAGGCCACGGAAGCAATGTCCGAAATTCACAGCATTGTAACACGTAAAGTTCTTCAAAACATAGAATCTTCAGAGCAGGAAGCGCACATTGTTGAACCGGATTTAGTACAACTTGCTTTGGATGAAGCAGATATTAGTTTTTACTAAATTTTACACAAATACAGTGACCCAAATAAAAATTGGGACGCGACCTTTTAACAAGTGTTGGATATTTTGCTTTATATTATTTAATGTAACATTTTTTTATGAAAGTATAGCTGATTACTTAACAAAACCCATATAAATCGAGATTTTTAGAATTCGTGCCAAAATTATGAAATCTGCAAAATTTTCGCAAAATGTCTTAACGAAAAAATTGTCAAAAATCAACGGCAAGCCCTAACTACTTGAAACTGGACCTTATTATACTAAAATTTAAGGACTACAAGGCTGCATACCAACAATTTTTCAAAAACTCTGATTAAAAAGTTAGACATTTTGCAGATTTCATAATTTTGGCACGAATTCTAAAAATCTCGATTTATATGTGTTTTGTTAAGTAATCAGCCATACTTTCATAAAAAAATGTTACATTAAATAATATAAAGAAAAATATCCAACACTTGTTAAAAGGTCGCGTACCAATTTTTTGGGTCAAAAAAAAATATCAAAAATTAACTCGTAATCTTAGCCACTTCAAACTTAGATTTTCTTAAGCTAGAATTTAATGGGCTATAAAACTGCATACTTGGATTTTTTCTAAAAATTCTTAATAAAAAGTTTGTTGTAAA